GTCCTTAAATTTGGGAGTTCTGATTTTTTTGAGTTCTTTACATGTCCTCAGTAGTAACCCGTTGTCTGGGAAACAGCTGACATTTTTTCCCACACTGTGGGTGGTCTCTTCACTCTGTTAGTGGTTTCTCTTGCTGTGCAAAAACTTTTTAATAAGATGAGATACCAGCTATTAATTCTTTGTGATAGTTTCGTTGTGATAGTGGGATGAGGGTTTTTATTCATAAAGTCTTTATTCAATGTCTTCAGAAGGTTTATCTATTTTATCTTCCAGAAGATTTAATGTTTCTGTATTAACATTTAGATCTTTGATCCATTTCAAATTTAGTTTAGTGCATGCTGAAAGATATAGGTTCAGTTTTAATCTTTAACATGTGCAAAGCAAGTTTTTCCAGAACCATTTATTAAAGAGACTTTCTTCCAGTGAAGGTGTTTGGCACCTTTCTCAAAGATAAGGTGGCTGAGTGTGTCTGGAGCTGTTTCTGCATCTTCTGCTCTGTTCCATTGATCCTCAGGTCCGTTTGTTTGCCAGTACCATGCTGTTTTCATCACAGTAGCTTTGTAGTATAATTTCATGTCTGGGATTGTGATGCCTCCTACCTTGCCTTTGTTTCCCAGGATTGTTTTCACTATTCTAGGTCTCTTCTGGTTCCAGATGAATTTTAGGAATGTTTTCTGTAATTCTGTGAGATGCTTTTGATACTTTAATCAGGATTGCATTAAATCTGAATAACAATTTTGATAGTATGACTATTTTTGCTATTTGGCTTTTCCTACCCAAGAACAGGGCTATCTTTCCATTTTCTGATATCCTCTTCAATCTCCTTGTTCAGAGTGCTGTAGTTTTCAATGTAAAGGTCTTTTACATCCTCCATTAGATTGATCCCTAGGTATTTCATTTCTTTGGATGCTATTGTAAAAGATGCTATTTCCCTAAATCTGTCCCAGTGAGTTTGTTATTTGTGTACAGGAAGGCTATTGATTTTTGAGTGTTAACTTTGTATCCAGCTACATCACCACTGAATTTGGTTATTAAATCTAGAGGTCTTAAGCCAGGTGTGGTAGCACAGACCTGTAATCCCAGCACTCGGGAGGCTGACGCAGGAGGATCATTGCGAGTTTGAGACCAGCGTGGGCTACAAAGTGAGCGCAAGGCCAGCCTGCACTGCATAGTGCCTCAAAAAGACCAAAAACAAAAACCAAAACAAAACAAAACATAAATAAATAAATAAATAAAAATAAATCTAGAAGTCTTCTGCTGGAGTTTGGGGGATCTTCTATATAGAGTATCACATCATTTGTCAGTAATGATAATTTAACTTCTTCCTTTCCTATCCTTATTCCTTTTATTTCTTTCTCTTGCCTAATTGCTCTGGCGAATATTTCCATATCTGTTTTGAATAGGAGTGGTGACAGTGGACATCCTTGTCTTGTTCCTGATTTTAGAATGAAATCTTTCAATTTTTGTCCATTTAGTATGATTTTGGCTGTTGGTTTGTCATAGGTGGCTTTTATCAGATAGAGATAAAGCCCATCTATTCTAATTTTCTGTGGAGTTTTTATCATGAATGGGTGTTGGACTTGTCAAATGCTTTTTCTGTATCTATTAAGATGATCATAATGGGTTTTGTCCTTTGCTCTGTTATATGGTGTATTACATTTATTGATTTACATATGTTGAACCATCCCTATATCCCTAGGATGAATCCTACTTGGTCATGGTGCATAATCTTCTTGATGATTTGCCACATTCTGTTTGCCAATATCTTATTTGAAGCTTTTTGCATTTATGTTCATGCACTTGTGTTTGCCTGTTGTTCTCTTTTCTTTGTTGGATCCTTCTCTGGTTTTGGTATCAGGGTAATGCTTGCTTCCAGGAATGACTTTGGGTGTATTGCTTCCCTTTCAATTTTATTAAAGGTTTGGAAAAGTAGTGGCATTAGGCCTTCTCTAAATTTCTTGTAGAATTCCCCAATGAATCTTTGGATATCTGATCTTTTTAGATTTACCCAAGATGACTGCCCCTTTTTAGTCAGTGCTGTGTAACCTTATTTTGTGCGTCTTTGGTATATTTATTTGATATTACTTGATATTACAATTATTGAGTGTTTACTACATGTCAAGCATAATTAGAAGTGCTTGGTAGTATTGATTCATTTACTGTGGTAGGCTTTGGGGGGTATTATTTTCAATCACCATTCTATAGGAAGTGGAAATAAGGAAAGGCCAGGTAACTGGCCCAGGATCACACAACATGTCCACAGATAGCACATCATCTTGTAACTATTAAATACATTACATTCAAGTAAACCTGATGTACAATTTAAATAATTACTTATTAAATCCAAATTAAAGTTTGTTATGGTTCCTGAATTCATGTATTCATGTTTTCTGTCACTTATAGAATATTATCTGCCATTATCTCTTTTAATATTACCTTATTTTCATTTTCTGCTGTGGACTCTGATTCGAAGTATATTAAGCCTTCTCAGTCCGTTGTATCCTTTAACTTGTCTTTAATTTTTTTCCTGGACTTTTTGTGTTACATGGATATAATTTCCTCAACTCTACCTTCTAGTTCACTGATTTTCATTTCAGCTTTATTTAATCTGCTCTTAAACTTGGCCATGGCATTTTTACTTTAATAGTTGTTTCTAATTTCCTAAACTCACATTTAATTCTTTTTAAGATCTGCCTGATCATTTCTAATAGTATCTTGTACTGGTTTGTCTTTGACATTTTACCCTTTATGTAGAGTGCTTCACACTCAGCTGATTTATAGTGTGCGTTTGACACTTGATCTCTGAAGCGCTCTCAGTCTAAATCAATTTATTGTTTGGTGTGCACTCTCATCATCTTCCTTCCATGGATATTTATGACGAAAACATATTTTTTGTTTGTTCTTCAATTTTGAGAATCTTGTCAACCTAAATTGGGAGATGTTTTCTTTCACAGATTTACATCTACTTCTGCTAAAAGGTATGAGACATCACCAGTCTTGGATTCCTTGGCCCTCCTCCAAAGGTTCCAATTTAACGGAGGGCTTTCAGGTTTAACTTCCTTACCTTTCCAGCGAGACAGATAGACAGACAGACACACACACACACACACACACACACACGCACGCACGCAGGCACGCACGCACACACCTTACTGGCGATTGAACCCAGAGCCTCACACGTGCTACACAAGCATTCTGCCGCTGCGCTAGGACCAGCCCTTAGAGTTGCAGTGAGAACAGCAGTGATACTTCGGGTTTGGGCCCACAGGGACTACCTGCTTCCTCACAGCACAGGAGTTCTCACTTCATGGGAGTTCAGGGAATAGCCTTGACTTCTCCTGTTCACTGTGAGCCCTGAAGTGCTTTTACAGACTGTGTGCTGTATAGCTACGGAGGTAGCTCAGTGGTAGAATGCTTTCCTAGCAGGCGTGTGGCCTTGGGTTCAATCTCCAGTACCACAGAAAAGAGCATGTGTTATATAGGATCTATTTTTTTGCAGTGGAAGCCTTTCCATAATATCTTGTTCATAATACAGGAAACAAAAGTATCTCTAATTTGATACCTTTTTATTAGTTTATAAGCCTTTTTCAGGACCATTAAACATTTCTTTGTAAGCATAACTTTTATGGTTCCATTATATCCCATTATAGTGCATGGATAAACCACTATTTAATTAGATAATGTTTCCGTTTTTAACTATTTAGTTTTTGGGGGGTTTGTTTTGTTTTGTTTTGTTTTTGTCTCTTTGAGACAGGGTCTCGCTATGCACTTCAGGCTGGCCTTGAGCTCACTTTGTAGCCCAGGCTGGTCTCGAACTCGCAACAATCCTCCTGCCTCAGCCTCCCGAGTGCTGGGATTACAGACGTGCGCCACCACGCTCAGCTTTTTATTTAGTATTTTTTGACATTTGGAATATTCTCCAGTTTTTTTGTTTTGTAAGTAGTACTACAGTGAACATCATTGTGTGAATATGAGATAAATTAAGAGCTATAAGGAAAAGACACAACTATAAGGAGGAGTAATCCAGAATGAAAGCAAGAAAACCAGTTAGAAGATTATGTATTAATTCAGAGGAGAGGCGATGCAGGTATGGAATTAGGGTGGTTTAGTATCTGATGGTCTACTAGAGATTTGATCTGGAAGTTGAAGAAGAATGTAAGATTTGGAAATCAACGAAAGATAATGGGAAGGCAAAACGGTGCTAAAGTTCAAAAACCTTCAGATTTGACGTGAATCCACATTCAAGCAGAATCCAAGTATTTTTTACTAGACAGTGAGGAAGCTGGGTGTGGTCGTGCACACTTGGAATCTCAGCAGTATGGCTGAGACAGCAGAATCAAGTTTGAGCCCAGCCTAGGTAACTTAGGGTAATTTAACATCTTAGTAAGATCTTGTCTCAAAATACGATCGATCAATCAATAGATAGATAGATATTTGTTTGGTTTGTTTTGTTTTGCTTTTTCCTTTGAGTCAGGGTTTTACTCTGTAACCCAAGCTGGCCTCACACTCTCAAGGTGATCCTCCTGCCTCAGTCTCCTAAGTGCAGTTGCAGAGGCCATGGAATCAATTCCCTGTACTGGAGGGAAATATGAAGAACGAAGGATGTAAGAAGTAGAACTAGCCAGGCATGGTGGCACATGCCTGTAATCCCAGCACTTGGAAGGCTGAACCAGTAGGATTGCTATGAGTTCCAGGCCAGCCTGGGCTGCATAGTGAAACCCTGTCTCAAAAAGACAAAAAAAAAAAGAATTAGATTTGAGTGTGGTGGCACACCTGTAATCACAGTGTTTAGGGAGGCTGACAGAACAATTACAAGTTCAAGCGCAGCCTGGGCAAGTTAATGAGATCCTGGTTTATATTTTTGGTACCGGGAATCAAACTCAGGACCTTGAGATCCTGATTTAAAAGCAGTTCTGATGTACCTCAGTGTGAAGTCTCTGAGAAGAGGGAAAAAAATAGAACTAAGAGAATTGGTGCCCAAAGAAAGAGGTTAGAGTAGGAGAGGACAAGTTGGCCTTGAGCTTACTTTGTAGCCCAGGCTGGTCTGGAACTCACAATGATCCTCCTGCCTCAGCCTCCCAAATGCTGGGATTATAGGCATGTGCCACCATTCCTGGGCTTGTTTTACTTTTTCTTTTTTCTTTTTTTCTTTTTTTTTTTTGTCTTTTTTGAGACAGGGTCTCCCTGTGCAGTTCAGGCTGGCCTTGAACTCACTCTGTAGCCCAGGCTGGTCTGGAACTCACAACGATCCTCCTGCCTCAGCCTCCCAAATGCTGGAATTACAAGCGTGCACCACCACATCTGGCAAAGTATATACTATTTTCAAGATCCTGTTTTCAACATATATTGTTGTGCCATGTACCAGTACTTCATGCCTTTTTATTGCTGAATAATAGTCCACTGTGTGCATGTACCACACTTGTGTATCCATTCATCTCCCAGCAAACATGTAGATTGTTCCTGCTCCTTTATGAGTAATGCTGCTGTGAATATATGTAGAAGCTTTCGTGTGAGCATGTTTTCATTCCTCAGGGATAGGTACTCAGGAGTATAATTGTTGGGTCTTGTGGTTTACTCTGTAACATTTTGCAGGACAGTCAGACTGTTTTCCAAAGGGCTTCACCATTTTACAGTGCTCCTAGCAGTGTAAGAAGGTTTCAGTGTTTCTAAATTATCAACGCTTGTTATTGTCAGTCTTTTCCTAGACATGCTAGTGGGGTAAAATGGTAACTCGTTTTAGTTTTGACTTGTACTTCCCTAATGACTAAAGTGACACTGCGCACCTTTTACTTACTTATTTATTTATTTTTGGTACCAGGAATCAAACTCACAACCTTGCACCTGCCAGGCAGGTGCTTGTGCCGTTGAGCTATATCCTGGCCCTTTATTTATTTACTTATTTATTATTGTGTGTGTGTGCGTGCATCTTGTTATGTGCATGTTGACCATTTATTTGTGTGTCTCTGGAGAAATGTCTGTTCAGGTGCTTTGTCCATTTTTCATTGATCATTTGTCTTTTTATTACAGAGTTATAGGGACGCCATATGTTCTGGGTAGAAGTCCCTTATCAGATGCATGGTTTGCAAATTTTCTCCCATTCTGTGGGTTGACTTTTTACTACTTGATTGTATCTTTTAAGTACAGGAGTTTTAAATTTTTATGAATTCATTTTATCCATTTGGTCTTTGCCACTTGTACATTTGGTATTATATCCAGGAATGTGACACCCAACCAAAAGTCATGATGAATTACCTCTTTCTTGTCTAACCTTTTTCACAGATCTTTCTTCACCTGAGAAACTGAACTCCAAGCTTTGAGTCAAGTCTTTCCACCACTCACTTTCCTTTACCAGATAACCTCCCTTTTTAGTTCAATGGGACCTCAACCGAACACATTCCCTATGCCAAGTACTGTGCTAGGTTTTATGCATAAAAATGATACTGTCTTATATACTAATATATACGTATATAAAGTTATGAATATAACTTGTACCTTGCAGTCCAAGTGCTGTTAAGGCAGATCTGCAAAAAAGAACAATAGCCATGTTAAGTGACATATGATTTACTTAACTGAAACCTCTTATGGACCTGTTAGTTTCTGATGAAGTATGCATTCTTATGAAATGGAATGATAAAATTATGGCAATTATGGCGATATGCTTTCTCTTATAAATTGATGATAATTTTTACTGAGTTCAGGCTAGCCTTGAATTTGCAGTCCTCCTGCCTCAGCTTCCTGAATAGCTGAGATGACACGCATGTGCCACCACACCTGGCAACTTTCTCAGATTTTGATATATGCCGAGGGATCTCCCGCATATACCAAGGGATGACAGCAGTGAGCCTTGGGAAGACCCTTAGGCAGGGTAGTGCTTAGGACCAAGCCTGCTTTTGAGAGCATCTCTGTACTCAGGGACAGCAGTGTGTCTACCCGGCGCAGGTAGACACAGGGTGGGCTCTTGCTGTGGTTTCTCTATTATTATTTCCAGAGAACTGGCCCAGAACCTGAGCAGAGAGGGGGCAGAGGACCCAGCCGGTCTACAGACGACTGAAGCTTTTTTTGGCCCAAAGGAAAACACTCCCTGGGCTTCCTGTCCCCGGGAAGACGGCTTCCTGTCCCCGGGAAGACGGCTTCCTGGCCCTTCAGGCTGGCTACACGCATTCTGCCTCCACATAAACCTATCTTGACGTAACTAAGTGCTGACCCAGAGCTGATGTGTGTGAGGCCCTGTTCCGCCTAGCTACCACTCACAGACGCTCTGAAGATCCCAGGAACTGCGTTCCACGCAGAGTTAGAAAAGGGTCTGCAGCCAGGGGTCCGAAGACGCACTTTCCCGGCCGGTGCCCAAGCTGCTGCAGCCCGGCCCCTGCGGGGCAGGCCTGACGCTCCCGGGGAGGCCCGGCTCGCAGGCATCCGCGGCGGGCTCAGGGTGCGGGTCTCCGCAGCCGCCCTGCAGGGCAGAACCCGGCCGGGGCTCCTAGAGGGGCGGGAAGCGTTCGCGGGCGCAGAGGAGCAGGGCGAGGTTCCCGGCTAGGGCCCGAA